TTGTATGGAGGTTTCATGAATTAAGGCCTTTGCCAAAATGAGTACTGCACAAGCTACTTTGTTAATAAAGCAATAATTTATTCATAAAGAGATGTTAATTTTTTTAAAAAACAAACAAAAACCCAATGAAATTGCATAAACTATTGCTCGCACCTTGATTTTTTGTTTCGATACACATTTGTATATGCAACTATAAAAGCGCAGTGCATATTTTCTAGCACAATATTACTTTTTATTTAATATATGTGAATATATTTCCCTAGCTTTTTCTGGTATCCTCCTACCCAATTCACTTGCCTGGGAAGATGTGTTACTTTCCTTCCATTATCTGTTTCAAATCAAATTTTAAATAAGAGTATTATTATTAATACTCTTATTAAATAAGAGTATTAATATTATAAATAAAATATTATTTATCACGTTCATTCTCTATATACATGTTTCATGTTATCAGTTCTTCCCTCACCTCTTTCTTTTTTTTAAAAAAAGAATGCATCACTGTCAGGGCGTGGGGGGATTGCAAAATAAAAATAAAAATGCGACACTGGCAGCCTGAAGTTTTCTATCCTTCTAAGAAATGCAGCTGCAGGTATGGTTGGAGGAAAGCCAGCCACTCACCCTGTTCAAATCCCACATAGCCCCTGGGCTCAAGAAACATGATATTCCTGATTGTGATCATTTAAAAAGAAAGAGGGGGGGGAGAGCTAAGGATTGTTAAACTGCTCATCCAGGCCTGCAGCTGGGGTTGACTCAGAGTGCAGAGTTGGAAAAATGCCCGTGTGGCAAGATTAGAAACTCATTTGTGTAGTTTATACGGCCTTGCCAGGAGCCTCCCCTTTTTCTTTTTCTTTTCTCTCCCCCCCAACCCTCCTTCAGTTTATTAACTTTAAAAGCACTCCTTTCCTGTTGGGGATCTGGCTGGGTTGCTCTGAGGCAGTTCTCTCTCTCACTGGCTCTCTCTCTTTCCCTCTCAACTCAGCGTCAACAACACTTGGAGGGTTTCTTTAGCCTGTATGCCTGTGTGAGATCATCCCTTGAACTTTCAAATGGTCTCCTTCACTATTTAAACCCTCTCCACCCACCCACCCCTCAAAAAAAAAAAAGTCTTTTCTATTCACTTCTTATCCCAGAGTGCAATCTAAAGCCAACTGCTTTTAAACTTTCTAAATACGTTCAATAAGCTTGTGCTTTCTGGAATATATGTTATGAAAGAAGGAAAAGAAAAGGCCCTTCTTGTCATCAAAACCATAATAATTATATGTCAGAGGTAATTACTACTCTGTAAGTAATACTTCTAATGCTAAGTGACAGAGGAGGCGGCATGGGGAAGGCAAAGAGAAACGGCCGGCCACATGAAATCTGATATAAAATTAACTACCCGCCTTAAATTTTAGCCTGATAAAATTCTACCCTTGAAAAAGCAAAGGATGTTGTCGGTAGGACAATTGAAACCAAAGAGATGGTATGTGCATTTCTGAAATCAGATATATTCAATCACAGCTCTCTTGAAATGCACAGTATTGTACATGCAGAGGCCACAGGGAACAAATTATTACAAATGCATGTATTTATTCACATCTCTAGAACATTTCTACTCTACACGTCAATGAGATATTTTCAGCTTACAGAAATTAAAACAATAACATCCAATTACAAAAGCAAAACAAATCAAATGTAAAGACCAAAGGTAAGATTTTCATCCTATTCAAATGAATTATAGATTGATCTGACAGATTGATCAGGATACAGGATAGCATGGAGCTGCCCCTTTGTAGAGTTCCCAAATGGCATAATTGGTCTTTGACTATCTGAACCATCTTTCCAGAGCAGTTATCTTTGCACAAGGGCTGACATAGATCCTGAAATCCAGCATCACCTGAGCTCTGCGAGTGCAGCTTTCTCCCTATTGAACTGCAGAGTGTTTGAGGACATTCAAAGGGAAACCAACATGCTTGTTTACAAAGCTATTGTACTACCAACCATACTGTATGCTTGTGAAACATGGACCACTTATAAACACCACCTCCAATTCTTCAAAAGATTCTATCAACGGTGTCTCTGAAAAAATTTTACACATCACTTGGGAAGACAGGCGAACTAAGTACTGGAAGAAGCAAAGATCACTTGTGTCAAAGCAATGATTCTTCAACATCGACTTCGTTGAACTGGTCATGTTGTACAGATACCTGATGATCGTCTTCCAAAGCAACTACTCTATTCTGAACTCAAAAATGGAAAAGCCTAATGCTGGTGGTCAACAAAAGAGGTTTAAAGGCTCTCTGAAGGAAAATCTAAAAAAATGTAGTATAAACACCTACAACTGGGAAACACTGGCCTGTGAGTGCTCCAATTGGATAACAGCCTCTACCAAAGGTGTCGTGGACTTCGAAGATGCTCAAACTCAGAACGAAAGGGAGAAACGTGCTAAGAGGAAGGCACATGTGGCAAACCCTCACCATGATCAACTCCCACCCAGAATTAGCAACCACAGTCACTTACGGACTCACTGTTAAAACCGTGTTTGTGGAAGACAATCTTACTCAGCTATGAGTGATTGCCAAAGAAGAAGAAGGAGGACCATCTACCTTTTTTTCCAGAGGGGAGTAGTTCTCAGAGGGGAAAACTCCATGGTGAAATTGATTACACTCACCCGTTTCATCTCATGAAGGAAAATCCAGAATCCCACCTTTGATTCGATTTTGGGTTCATGGGAGGAGGAAAAGGGGAGAAATTACTACTGCACAGGCTGAAGTTCTTGTGCTGCGCTAATGGGGCTCATTAATTGAATCCCACCCATTGGGTCTACTCTAAGCTTGACTCTAGTCTGGTTTGCCCTTTGCTGTCTGAATATGTGTGGTATTCTTTTCCTACAGACTCTGGTCTTTAGCACAAAATAGAAGTTTGGGGAGAAGTCCTTCTCCAGAAACTGTAACTGTAATTTGTTATAGGAGAAGCCCATGCATAGATCATACACTTATTCACATAGACATTGATTCATGTACGCTGTGCTACTACATTCTCCTTCTGTCAAGGCTTAGTTTGGGACACATTTCGTTTGACATAAGCTTTGCTGATAAGCATACAAACTTTGATAGTACAGAGCATCATAGATCACATGTCATTAAATGTTAGCTGACTGTAATTGTATTATCACAATATTATCTATTATTATTATTAATTAATTATCTTCCATGCAAGTGTCTCAGGGCAATGTTCAAGAATAATGGCTAAAAGCAGATAAAAACAATACAAACATTTAATAACAAACAACAGCAATGCAATACAGAATAGACACCTAGGGCAGAGACCCATTCTTCAACAATATCTTCAACAATGAAACGGAAAAATAATTTGAATATTTACTTCTAATAATGCATAATAAGACAAATGACTAGAATTAGAATTATAAAAAAAGAATCATGCTTTTTTATGTTTGGCCGTATTTTACTCTGACAATATGATCGTTGTACTAAACTGGAAAATAAATCTAACAGCAACATGTGGTGGCTTTCGAGTTACTGAATACCAAAAATTCCGGCTGAGAAATTATGCGGCACTTCTAAGAGGGCATTATCTGCCATCTCAGCATAGCAGATAATTTACTGGATTCTGGCACTTGTTTTGTCAAGTGGCCCAGGTCCAGATCCTGCACATGGACCCATTTACACATGCAGCCTGACTCATGTGCAGATCCACCTTCCTGGCATATTTTATTAGCATTATCCCTCCACGTACTCTTCTGTGAAGTGTATGTACTAAATCAAGAAACAGTACACAGCTTAGGCATGTCATTAGATCCAATCCAGCAGATAGGTGTCCGGATGCTTTTCATGGTCCGAAAAATGTGTAAAAGTCTAGGCTGGATTACTACAGTGCACTTTCCATGGGGCTGTCTCTGAAGCTTCAGAAACTTCAGTTGATTTGTGAAACACAAGATATATCTCCCTAGTACTGGGGGACGACGACCCAGTATTGCTGATTTCAAGCTGGTCTCCAAGCAGGCCTAAAGGTGCTATCTTTCTTCTACAATGCTTAAATGACATGGGACCTCTATACATGTACTGCCTGCTTTGCTCCGAACCTGACCAGTTACTAGGATCTTTCTGAGAAGCCTCACTCAGGGTGTCCCCATCCTTAAAGGTTCTCTTTTAAGGCCTTGTTAGCTGTGGCACTTCAGCTGTGAAATTGCCTTTGCCTATCCATTTGCTTGGCACTGTGTTCAACAATTTTCTTTAGACACCAGTCTAAACACTGGCATTTTAAATATATTTGTTATTAAAACTCATACCTTGCTTTTCTGCACTGGCACTCATTTACCACTTTAAACTTTTGCTATTTTTAAACAACAGTCTCAAGATGTTTCTGGTTTCTGTTTTCACTGTCTTTTTACTTATGACAAATTCATTCTTAGCATTGATTTTTTTAAATTGTCTTGTAATCTACTTTGAAAGTTGAGGTTGAGCAGCAGGATCTAAATATTTTTAATTATAAATAAACTCATTACCCTTTTAGTGGGCTGATCTTTCCCACCCAAAACCTTCCTTTAATTCTCTCCCTTTAATTGGGATAGATATAATTATGGCCCTTTCCCTAAGGTGCCAGAGGTTTCTCTAGTATCATAATCAGTGGCAGAGGAAGGCTCTCGGGCAACTGGTGGGATGTGCCAAGGGGCAGGGTGAACCACCCACAGGGGCGGGTTGAACTGCCCGGCAGCACGCGCAGTGCCCATATGGATGACGGACAGCATACGCAGCACCCATACAGACGGCATGTGCAGCGCTAAGTCAGACGGCATGTGTGCTGCGGGCCCTCAGCCACCCTACAGCTGGGGGGGCAGCTGGCAGACAGCACAGAGCCTGCGGGCACCCAAGATGCATGGCTCAGGCGTGCGACAGGCCCCGCAGTGGCTGCCAGCCACCATTTTGTCACCCCCCTCAGGTTGACACCCACCCGGGTGCCCACAGTGGATGCGAGCGCCACCCGTAAAAATCTGACCGGTTTTATGCGGGCGGCGGCCAGATTTTCGTGATCGGCGGGCGGCACTCGCATTCACAGCGGGTGGATTTCCACGATTGGCATGATCGTCGTCGTGAAAATCCGCCCGCCGATTGCAAAAATCCAACCCCTGATGGCATAAAAGCCATCTGCCGGCGATTCGAGTGCCGCCCACCAAGGGGTGTCAGGCTGATCGCCAGATGTATTTGTGCGATCAGTGGGCATATTTTCACTACGACAATCGCGCCAATCACAAAAATTTGCCCCCCAGGGGTGCCAAGCAGATTCGCCCAGGGGGAGGGGTTGTTACCCCCCGCGCAGGCTGCAACCCCCGCACCCCCCTTGCGACGCCCCTGATCATAATACATTTTCCTTTCTTTTTCTTCTTTCTTTTTGTTAATGTGCCTTGCTATTTTTAATTTTTGGAAACTTTTCCCGACAGTATATAACAACGTGACCCATCTCCTCAAAAGGTAAAAATAAACAGCGCAATACAAAAATAGATTATCAAAATGTGGGTTTTGTGATGCACACTTTGAAAAGTCATTTTTCATGCCTAGCTTTTAAGAAGACAAAAGTGATCCAAAGTTAGGGAAGATAGGAAATTACTGATAACAGGATAAAATATGACTACCATATCTAAGGTTTTCAGTAACAGCATTATTTTGCGAACATGTAAATTTAACCTAAACAGGAAAGGTTTTTTCCTGAACAAATCAGGAAAACAAATACAGATTTATTAATAGCGTAGTCTTTTAAACAATAGGTCTTCCTTGACACTAGGAGAGCATTTTTAGAAATCTTTATAATCGATCACTGCAATAGCCATTTTTATGAAGCAGAAATATCCTGTTTTGATATTACTCCTACTAGCATAATCCATAAAGAGAATAAAGAAAGAGAATAACATCAGTGTGTCAGTACACAATTCTGCTTGTGGTACAAAACATGCATATAAGATTCAATCCCACAGCGACAGAGAGTAAAACACTGAAAAAATTTTATATCTGCACATCTGCATTCTGCAACCATTGTGTTGCTTTCAGCATTGCATCCTTTCAGTAGAATGGATGTGAGAAGCATCTTCTTCTCTTTCTTACAGTGAAACGCCTTGCCCCATGAAGCATGGTGGTCTCCTCCCTCACTGTTCCTCACCAGTTAAACTATGGAACTTGCTCCCAAATGAGGCAGTGATAGCCACTAACCTACCATAGTTTTCCATGTATAAGACGATGATTTTTCATTTAAAAATTACAGTGGTACCTCGGTTTACGAACTTAATCCATTCCAGAAGTCCGTTCTTAAACCAAACCCGTTCTTAAACCGAGGTGCGCTTTCCCTAATGAGGCCTCCCACCGCCGATGCCCTTCCACCATTCGGATTCTGTTCTTAGACCGAAGTAAAGTTCACTAACCGGAACTCTACTTCTTATACCGAATAGTTCGTAAACAGGGCTGTTCTTAAACCAAGGTACCACTGCATGTTAAAAATTGGGGCTCGTCTTATACACGGATAGTGCATAGGAGGAACATGTGATTGGTTGCTGCTGCGAGCCAGAGATCATCAGCGACTATTTGGCGTGTCCTCGATGGCTGCGTCAAGGGCTGGTGTTGATTGGGTGTCGCTGCATCAATTGAGCAGGCAATTGGCGGCTTCTGCCGGCAAGGGGACAGATGATCTTTGGCCAGGACCATCTTACCCATAGGCGCTAGGGGTGCAGGGCACCCAGGCGCCGGACTCTCAGGGGCACCAGGCCGAGAGTCCGGGGCCCGAGAGTTGAGTCCAGGGAAGAGCCTGCCCATTGGTCGGAGTGCCGCAATGGGTTCTTCTGCTGTGGGCAGCTCTGTGCCACGAGTATGGGGGCGACCGAGCTAGTGAGATGCTGAGGTGGCCGGCCAGCTCCGCCCTCCTGCACGCCTCGGACTGGGAAACCTGGGTGGGGGCACCAGGCGGATCTTTGCACCCTGGCACCGCATATGCTTAAGATAGCCCTGTCTTTGGCTTTTGCAATGTGCGCAAGTGGCAGCGCAGTTCCTGCTGGTGAGCAATTTTTGTCAATTCTCCCCCAAAAAGCTGAACAACTCTGGACCACCCCCACCCCCAAAAAAGCTCAGCAACTATGGGTAATCCTCCCCAAAAAAGCTCAACAACTTTGGGCAATCTCCATTTTCTTAATTTGGAGTCCACAAAATAGGGGGCGTCTTATACACGGGGGCATCTTGTACAGAAGATTAGACATATTAATGGGGGCAAGGGCTGTTCCTGGAGGCTGTGCCCTGCCTCCACAGCAGGAGGCAGTAAAGCTTCTGAAAAGCAGTGCTGAAAACCACAGGAGGGGCGAGTGCTCCTGCTCTCGAATGCGGCTTGCAGGTTTCTCATAGGCAACTAGTTGCTCATTGTGAAAACAGGATGCAGGGCTAGATGGGTCACTGGCCTGATCCAGCAAGCTATTTTTATATTCTTACCTTTTTATACTGGCAGGCTATTATTTTATGAAGCAGGCAATTTAAAAGAAGTATTTTTCAGAGCTGCTGAGCCAGTCTCTTTTCTGTAATTCTTTTATATTGCATTACTACATTGCAGTGTTGTACATTGTAAGCTGCCCTGAGTGGTGGTTGGTTTGTTTTTTAACTAGATGGGCAGGATACAAATGTTTTAAATAAAATAAAATAAATTTAAATGAGCTTTTCCATCTAGTAAAAAGAGGCACTATGTGCAGCCATTGCTGCATATGTTCCCAGTCACGCACAGCTTCCTCTGAATTGTGGCCTTCTGCCATCAAAACGTGTAGGGTAGGATTATTAGCCACTGGCCAAATGCAGCATGGCAAAACAGAGTGTGTTTATTTCTCAATTTAGAGTTAGATTCAGATTTAGTTAGATTTAGAGTTATGGTATGAAGATTCGGAGTGGGTTTGAATCCATTCTCCATAGCATAAGAGAAGAAAATAACCATAACTGGAATAGAATTAATATTTCCTCCCTATTTGCCAATGTAGCCTGAAGAATAGCCAATACATATTGGGTTTTAAATACCTATTTTACATTCTGCAAAAATAAAAATAAAAATAAAAATCCAAGTAAAAATAGAACTATTTTGCTGGGCTGCACCACATAATTTCCCCAAGGCAGAAATGTTGAGTGTTGAGCAGAGATTGTTCACCCAGGAAACATTTCCATGGTGAGTTTTGGGAGGGGCTCCTGTTTGCTGCGATTGTTCACTATAATGCTGCTTTGGTGCCATCATTTTTCCCTGACTGAAGTTTCATGGGTCTTCAAAACATATGCTCTACCACTGAATTGTGACCATTTCTCAAAGCACACGATTGGGTTTTTATGTCCTCACAACACACATCTAGCTTCCCTCCTTCAATGGGACCAACAGGAGCTGCCAGGAAAGCTCAGTAGCCGTGTGAGGGTGTTATCCCAATTTATCTGTTTTGAAAATGGCTCTGTACAGTGTTTTATTGCTGTTCTGCTTTTTCTGTTTGAATAAAAGTTGTTTTTAGCCAAGTGAGATTTTAATGGCACTCCATCATCCATAAGCCTGTTAACCATAACCATACAGCACAGCTGACCATATCCCCTTTATGTTTCCTCTTGTGTGCCTGCGAACACCTCATATCCGTCAGTTTCAGTCTAGCAGTGCCACTTTGATTTGAACAGACAGCCTCCTGATCCAGTAATTCAAGTATGTCAGGGATGTACTAGCTACATAGACCTGCTCCATGTGTGAAACACCTTATGGGATCTCACTTCAACAGACCGTCTAGTAATCTATAGAATATGATGCAGCATCCCACTCTGCAATGAATGAATGAATGGAGCCTGGGTAGATTTGGTGTGTTAGATCAGCAGGTTTGTTGCCAAATGGACAAAGTGTCGGGTTTGCCCCAGCAAGAAAGAACACAGGGGCAATCCATCACAGGTAAAGCAGTCTGTTCTCTGAAACTGCTGCTGGTGTCAATGCAGGTGTGAATGTGTATCCACATAAAAGTACTAGCATCCTTTTGGGTGTTGGTGCCTCTGGATCAAGCCCATTGCTGCACAGGTTTTGACTTCAAATACACTTTCACTCCAAAATATTTGAACAGAGTGTTCTGACAACAAAAGAAGAAGAAATCCAAAAACTTGGGAAGAGAAACTATGCACTAAAGTTCTAAATTCTTCCACTAAAGAGCTACATTCTTTTACGTGTATATTGGATTCTTCTTGCGCATAACTGTACTCCAATAATTAAAAAAAGGGTTGATGGAAGGAGGCCTTTTCAGTGACCTTGTGTCCCTCCCTTGGAGGAAGAGGCCTGACAGGTAGATATATGGAGAGTTTGTTATTGTAAATTCCAGATCTTGTGCTTATCTCTGACTCAACTTCTGGGTCTTTATCTGGAATTCCTGTGAAAGGTCAACCAGTATATTACTGCTTCTCTTCACCTTGTACCGACCCCAGCTTTAAAAATACACTTTATACAAATGGCGGGGGGTTGGCCTTCTTCCCCAAATGGAACTGCGAAGGTGAATGAATGATGTCGGTGGGATGGGAAGATACTCACTTGGAAAATATGCAACCTAGAATGTGGCTTTCCTGATCACCCCAATCTTCCCTATAATCAGCATTCTTACTTTATATCATTTAATAAAACCAGACAACAGACTCTTCAGAAACTTCTTAAAAGACATGTGCCATACTCTTGGAGATAACCAGAATGATTGCCTGAACTATAAGGGAAGTTCAGGAGGGCGTATTAGTATTGAATTGGCATGGATGGTCAGCAGACATTCAATATCTGTGTATAGCATGCTGTATGTAATTATATACAGAACAAAGGAGCGTCAGTGTTCTGATGAGTATTTATAGGGTATAGGTCATTTGTACTTTTGGACTATTTGTAAATGTGCCCCCTGTACACATTCTCTTATCAGCTCCAAATTATTTTCTTTTTATTTTAGTTATTAAAATGTACAACCAGCCATTCCTCTCCCCACCTCAAAGGGAGCCTAGAGTGCGTCATAAGACTAACATCACATAAAACAACACCATAATTAGTGCATCGTGTGCACTGCAAGCAGGAAGGCCCATGCTGGTTCCTTACCTCTCTCGCCCTGACCTAGCCACTGTGATCCACACGACGGTCACCTCCAGACTGGATTATTGTAACTCACTCTACATGGGGCTGCCCTTGAGACTGACCCAGAAACTCCAGCGGGTGCAGAATGCCATGGCGAGACTCCTTATGGGGTCCTCGCCGCGGGATCACATTCACCTGGTGCTATACCAGCTGCACTGGCTCCCAGTGGAGTACAGAATCAGGTTTAAGGTGCTGGTTTTAACCTTTAAAGCCCTATACAGCCTAGGACCCTCATACCTAC